GAGGAACAAAGTTAAAGAAAGTGTGTGCTTTGTAAACTGAAGAGCTTAACAAACACTATCATTAATATAAGAAACTATCGGGCCGACCCTGTGGCTCACTCAGCTGAGTGCGGCACTGGGAGCACTGAGGCCGCGAGTTCGGATCCTATATGGGGATGGCCGGTGCACTCACTGGCTGAGCGTGGTATGGGCGACACCAAGCCAAGGGTTCTTATATATAAGAAACTATCAGAGTAAGATTTCTTGACCCACTCACTAAAAGAGAAAAACTGTGGTTGAGGAAAGAATAATATTGATTTCATGTAACTAGAGATCTCAGGCTTGAGAAAATAAAATGAGAAAAGAAGCTTGCAACTTCACCCATCTTAATTTTAACCCTATCTCTGGCCTAGTCCATTTGGCTTTCTGATAGCGTGGGAAATGAGGCTAACACTGTAAAATCCCACGTGTCAGCACAGCCATCAAACTTTTAGCACAAATCACAATCCTTATTTTATTTTTAATTATTTTTAAGCAGCACTTCTCATTGGCTCAGCTGAGCTAATCTGGGCTCAAGGCAGTAAAACATTCCAAACGTGGACAGAGAAACACTGACGTAGTCCAGTGTTAAAATTAACTTTGCTAAACTCTTCCCAAGCTCAGAGAATTCTGCTTTGGTTGTGAAATACAGTCAGAAAAAGATTTCAAACTAAATGCTGCAAGACTTCTTAGGATAAACCAAAGGCTCCAGATCCTAACCACAAGAACCAGGCTTTTTCCACATGGAATTCTGCAACTCAGCATCGCCTATTTCAGGCCCTGAATTAAAGATTCTCCTTCCAATCATTTACACATCCCCCAGGCACACACAGAGGCTATGCTGGAGGTCAGCATTAGGTAATGGCTGAAGACATTCTACCCACTGCCATCTCAAATCTCAACCACTACTGCAGCCCACAGAGAACTCTTCTTTCTCATCTCCCAAATCTCCCTACATACCCAAAAGTACGCCTGTGGAAATTCTGACTCCAAAAGCCTGAGTGGGACACAGGCATCTGTATTTTTTAAAAGCACCATCAACAAGTCCAATGTGTAACCAGGTTGAGAACAACTAATAAAGACAGTATGTTATGACAGAAGAGGTACTTTAGGAAGACTTAGTTCCACACTCATCCCTGCCACTATCTACCTGTGTGACCTTAAGCAATTTACTTTTCTCTAAGCCTTCACCTCCCCAGTGGAAATGAGTTGTTGTGGATATCAGATAAAACAATAAATTAGGTTTTCATTAAAAAAATAAACTTCATATTTGTATTGCGTTTTACAGTTTAGAAAATGCTTTTACACCCATTTTGTCAAATGACAAAAGCCTACTAATCTCACCTTACAGAAGAGGATATTAAAATTAAAAGAAATTAAAATAAATCACAGAGTTAACAAATGTCAGAGGCAGTACTCAATCTAGGTTCTTTAAGTCTGGTTCCAGACCATTTCTCTATGCAGCTGGTTTAAATTCTCAAAAACTAAATGAAGGGCATATCAATTCAAAGACCGCCAACACTGCTGTGTATCCTGCTCGGTCTAAATTGAGAAGTTTGTTGTTTGAACAAAGGCTCCAAATAAAAGGAAAAAACCTCAGACATTTCATTTTGATGTATGCATTAATTATAGTTATCAGGGATATTAAAGCACAAGGGTGAAACCTATGTGCTCAGGGCATATATAGAAAATCTATAACTAGAGGATAAAAGAGTGGTTACTAGGTTATTTTGCAAGAATTTCTTATAACTGTCTTCTACCTCTATGCTTTCAACCTATAGAGATGCAGCTTTGATCCTGAGTCTGTGAAATTTATTTTCAGATCAGATTTGGCTTAGGGTTACTCAGCTAGGATTTCCAGAAGAACCTATGGGTCTACAGCTCTATCACTGACTAAAATACTTTACAATGGCCTAGTTTCTTTTCACCTATATAGACAAGCCTGATCCAACTATATCTTTGTAATATCTCATTTATATAACTATAGGATTTCAAAAGCAAACGAAATTGGTACATGTGTACTGCTCTGACTCTCATTTTTAGATGAAAGCACTGAAGTCTGCAGAGAGGTAACTGACCCAAATCAGGCAGCCCGTTTATGGGAGAATTAAGATGACAGTCCAGATATCTAGACTTCTGCTTCTCCATTCAGCCATAAGACTGCGCCTTCACTTCCCAATGATGTCTGAAGGCTCGTTGTTTTAGGCAGGAATCTTCTTTTATCAAAGAACAGCTTTATTGAGATATAATTCACATACCATTCAACTTACTCATATACTGTACAATTTAATGGCTTTGAGTATATTCAAAGAGCTCGGCAAGCATCTCCATAATCAATTTTAGAATATTTTCATTCTAAAAAGAAATTCTGTACCTCTTAGCCATCACCTCCTAATCCCAACCACCTTTCTCCCTCTACAGCCCTACGCAACCATTAATCTATTTTTTGTCTATGAATTTGCCTATTCTGGACATTTCATATAAATGGAATCATACAATATGTGATCCTTTGTGACTGGCTTCTTTTACTTAACACAATGTTTTCAAGGCTCATCCATCTTATAGCATGGATCAGGACTTCATTTCTTTTTGTTACCAAATAATATTTCATTTTATGGATATACAACATTTTATTTGTCCATTCATCAGCTGATGGATATTTGGGTTGTTTCCACTTTTTGGCTATTATGAATAATGCTGCAATAAACATTCACGTGCAAGTTTTTGTGTAAATACATGCTTTTATTTCTCTCTGGTGGAACTAATGAATCATATGGTAACTCCACTTTTAACCTTTTGAGGAACTGCTAGACTGTTTTCCATAGTGGCTGCACCATGTTACAGTCCCACCAGCAATCAAGAGGGTTGTAATTTCTCCACATCCTCATCAACATTTATTATCTGTCATTTTTATTATACTCTTCCTAGTGGGTGTAAAATGGTATCTCATTGAGGTTTTGAACATGATGGCTAATAATTTTGAGCACCTTTTCATGTGCTTATTGGCCATTCGTATATCTTCTTTGGAGAGACATCTATTCAGAATCTTTGCCCATTTTAAAATTAAATTATTTGTCTTTTCATTGTTGAGTTCTAATAATTCTTTATATATTTTAGATACAAGTCCATTATAAGACATATAATTTGGGAAAATTTTTTCCCTCTGAAGGTTATCTTTCCACTTTCTTCATGGCAGCCAGTGAAACACAAAAGTTTTTAATTTCAATGATGTCTATTAGGTGAAAATCTTATTATCCTTCCCAGTTTGAGTTAGTAAGAACAATTTAAACTTTTTAATTTAAAAAGTCCTCTTCCCTACATGTAGAAATTTGATCTGAAAGCCTACTTAACATTGGTTTAACATCAGTACAATCAATATGAAAAAAAAACACACACACCTAAACTGAGGGATAAACAAAGTGGCTATCTATGTGGAAGAAGATTCCGGGGCAGGGTAACACTGCCTAGATCATAGCCCCTATACCTAGGAAGTTGGAAGGTACAATATAAATGAATTAGCCAGGAAATCAAAGTTAGCATGTTACCCATATGTCTTCTTTCTAGATCCCCAAAATCCCACAGTGAAGGTAGGGATACACACACATAAAGATATAAGCCCAAAGTACTCATTAAAAGTCCTCAATAATTCTCATTCCAGTTATTTGACAAGCATTTGCCATATGTGAGATCTGCCTATTAAACATTTCTATATAAAGATACATCAAACGCAATATGTCTAAGATAATCTTTTCACCCCAAATGCAATGTGTCTGAAGTCATCATCTTCCCTGCCCTCCAACCACCAACACTCCTAATTTGTTCCTCCTACCTGTGTTTCTTATTTGGTTAATGACACTATCATCTACCGTCTCCCCTGATCTGTAGTTATACAGTTATATTTTTCTACAACAGGAAATATTTTCTGCAATTCACCACTGTACTTGTTATATTTGCCCTACTGTTTCAGAATCCCACGTAGTCTACCAGCTATGCCTCCCAGCTTCTATTAATCAACAAAGGAGTAAAGAGAAAGAACTAACATTTAAGTACCTTCTGTGCAGAAGGTACTATATCACAGAAGGTACTATATCAGGAACTTTGCGTGTAGTGTCACAACAATCCTATGAGATATTATTTCAATTTTAAAGATAGGAAACTAAAGGTTAAAGGGTTAACTGACATGCCTAAAGTCACAAAGCCGCTAAGTGGTGAATCAGATTCATCTGAATCAGAAGTACATGATAACTACTTACAGAACAGAACAGGGCCCTGTAAGCATAACTGAAAACTTTACTTCAGATCAATGCCACTTAAATTAACATTTGTGGGGTTAAACAAAAGCCATCTATGTGGACACCCAAACCTCTGTTTCACTATGTTGTCCGTAAGAATCTCAGTAACTTTTTCAGATGCACTGTTAAAATCCTAATTACTTACTCTTCTAGAAGTTTTATCAATAAAAAGGAAATGAGGCTGTCCAGTGTGACACTCACAGTACACTCATGTTGAGTCCTAATTATCTGTTTCCTCTTCTCAGCAACATTCTTACTGATAGTTAATTCCCAAATCTGGGGAAGAGGAAATCAAGAATTTGGAAAGAAGACATTACAAATGAAACTAATTCAGAAAAAAAAAAAAATTTCCAAATGAAGACATTTCAATTTCTTATATTTTGTAATTTCATAAACCATTCAGAAATGTGAAAAGTAAACAAATAAATAGCTTCAGATTGTCCAAAATCTGGAAAGAGCATAATTACTCTCCTGGAATTTTGCTCAGATATAGTTAATAAAGTACAAAATAGGTCTATTTTCCATTTGGCTTCAGTCACTTCAGGAAGGAAAGACAAGTGAAACATTTAAGAAGAAACAAAAAGGTATTAAAGAAAAATTAAGTCAACAGAAGCCAGATATTTTACTCAGGTTATAAAAAATAAAAAAAGTTTAACATACAAATGATGAGAAAGAAATGAAATACTGTACTTTTATCTCCAGGTAAGATGGATCGGTAAAATCGGTCCTTCTTTTTCTTCTCCTCTGGGTTTGGAGGCAGAGGTTTGGAACCATGATTTAGGGTTCCAGCATCTTTGCTGCCAGCTCCAATCATTGTGCTGGTATTTCTCATCGGAGGGGCTGGGGGTTTGTCTTGAATGTCTAGGCCGTTATTTGACATTGTCACCACCAGCAGCAGCTACTGGAATCAGAAAGAAGAATACAACTCTTTTTTATTTTTGAGTAAAAGAAAATACACATTAAAATTTTTAATGAATTCAAATTATACAGCCCTTTCTTCAGGGCCCACCGCAAGCCCTTCCACAGCACTGCATGGATACAGCTAGCCTGTTCAGTCAACAATACTCACAGATGTAACTGCCTACTCTGTACCACACACTGCTGAAAATTCACAATGATCATGCTTTTCTCTGCATTCCCATATTCGAGACATTGGGGAGCACAGAAAACCACCATGATGTAGTCTAAAAGCAGAAATTTGGCCTAGCAAAAACCATGAATTCCAGAACCACTTACTAGATTTAGAGAAATTCCTTAACATCTTGGATTCCATTTATCCTTCTATATGAAGATTAAATAAAACTGCTAACAGCATTCCACATAGTGAGTTCTCTACCAACTTCTAACTTTGTACACTCTCCCTCTCTGAAATTGACTGAATCAAGGGTCAGCAAGCTGCTGTTTTTGTAAACAGTTTTACTGAAACACAGTCACGTCCGTTCATTTACGTATTGTCTATGGCTTCTTTCATGTTACACTGACAGAATTGAGTAGTTGCACAGCGACTGTATGCCCACAAACCTAAAATATTTATTACTTAGCCCTTCACAGGAAAAGTTTACTGACCCTTGGGACTGTATCATCTCTTTAGTATCTTCCTCCTCTAAAATTCTATCTTGTTCTAAATATATGAATATATCCAGAGTTTAAAGTTTCTCATTATTCTTCCATGGTACGTAGATATTATATCTTTAACTATGACTATTTAGAATATAAGCTCCCTGGAGTTAAACACGACAGTGCGTTAGAGACTAATGGCTTCAAAAAAAACAGCATAATAATCACCAAGGGCTTTTAGAAATACAGATGCTCTGGCTTGACCCTCATAAACTTTGATTTAGTATGGCTAGGTTAAGACCAAAATTCTATATTTTGAAAATTAGTGATTCTAATGCCAACCAGATTTGAATACCACTGGCTTTAGACATCAACTACTTAAAATGCTATGAACAAAATCTATAGGAGTCTTTTTTTTTCCTAACATTTTCTAGTTAATGAAGAACTAACTGAGCTCCTGCATCCAGTTTTTTCCTCGATCTAAGTGGCTATCACTGATCTTTAAACATACCACTCCTCTACCTTTAAAATCTTTCATTGACATCCCAGAATAAAAGCTAAAGTTCTTTAGCTTGCTTGTAGAGGCCCTCTGTTATTTGACCTTGCCCACTCATTGGCCTCATTTCCCACCACTACCACTCCCTGTAATTCGCTTATACTCTAGTCACACCCAACTTCTCCAACTTCTTCAAATACAGCATAGCTTTCAACTTCCATTCTTTTGCACATGCTGTTCCCTCTGCCTACAATGCCAATTTCCCTATCCTCATCCTTTAATGCTTAATTCAATTGTTACTTCTTCCACGAAGATGTTTGCAAATGTTCTCATCCCTAAGAAGTTAGATGTCCCTCCTCCATGCCCCAAGACAATGGGTATATTTCCAGGTTATCACATTTATTTCTACCATGTTATAAGTGTTTACAGGTTATGTCTTCCCCAGGAGCCAGAATGTTTCTCAAATGTTGGGCCCAATTTTGTCATCTTTACAGTCCAACAGTGCTTTGTATAGTATCGAACTCACAGCGGACTCAATAAATATTTTAATTACTCTTAATTTGCAATGGGATATAGACCTTACCTTTAAGCAGTTTGGTACAGATTAAAGTCAAGGCGCTTCACAATCTGACATGGATCTGCCTTACAAACTAAGCCATCACACCTAGACAAAGCCTACATTCAAACAATGCCTCAGAAATCTCTGTTCTCCTGAACTATCCAAGTATTCTTACACACACTTACACACACACACCCCCACCACCCTTCCTGTCAATGATTTCTCCCTTCTCTGACTGATAAAATCTTACTCATCCTTCATGGCCAAATTCAAACCCCATTTCTTTGTGTAATTCATTCTGACACACCTTTGGTAAACCAACTGTTCCTTACTTCTCTTTCTGAACCAAAGAAATCAAGCAAGTATGGAAAACCTTGTTAATCCAGATTAACTCTCTGGGTGGTGTGCTTTTTATCCATTTCTTCCAATTTCACTTGACAGATTTGCCTTTGCTTTCCCTCCCAGCCCCAACTCAAGTCCCTCGGCTCCCCAGAGAGCTTCCACTGTCTCAGTTCTCAAGTGTACCTTCCCACTCCAGGCTGCCAGTTCCAAAATTACACTCCCTGCAGCCACCTGATACCCTAATCAAGCCTTTCCTCCCTCCCAGGTCCTTCAGCCAACAGCTTCATTGAATGTAACTCCCTTTCAGGACCATAGCCCAGGAGTTTGCCAAGAAAGACTTCACCAACCTTCCTGATTCAGGCTTTTCTCCATTTCTCAGACCTTTTACCATGTTTGGAGAGTTCTCGTGATAGATCTTCACTTTCAAAGAGATTTCAAATTACTTAAAACCTAAAATTTGTTGTTGGAATCTAATGTTTGGATCTTTTTTACCACATTCCAGCCTAGGTCATTTATCCTATGCTTGAAAACCTCCAATGGTAGGGAATCTACAATTTCAACAGCATATTCTATCTTTGGTAACCTCATTTAAAGAGTTCTCAGTTATATTAAGTTCTATCACACGTTGCATCACAATAATTTGTTTATACATTTGCCTCCCCCTTCACCTCCCTCCCCTGCCAGACTTAGATTATGAATTCCTCAAGAACAAAGTTCATGATGTCTCATGTATTTCTCGATCCATAACATCTGGCCTGGCACAGAACAGGTAATCAATAAACTTACTGAACAAATGAACAAACAAATGAACAAATAAAAGAGCAAATCAATATACAAAGAATAAAAATTACTTGCATTTGGTAGTCCTAAATCCTATCTCTTAAAGCTATTCAGAAAAGTCCATTATCTCTTCCCCAGACAGAACTTTAGATACTTGAAATAATCTTTCAAGAACCCCCACCCCCAATCTATTTTCTCAATGCTAAACATCTCCAGTACTTTCAACTATATTCACATAACACAATTTTATGCTTTCCTGATCACTTCCCTCTGATCTTTCTTGGACTTAGGGTTTCTATACTACTTTTCAGTTTCCTTGCAGCTCTCCTATAGTTTCTCCACAAGTCTTTCCTCTCTTTACACTCACAGATCTCCTCACTGGACATTTTGTCCATCTGAACTCAGCACAATAATTAGCACATATGAAAACCTATACTATTTTAAACTTTGTTTACAGGAAAACAGGTCCAAAACATCAATCCTAAGGGAGAAGAAAGAAGAAATACACTCAACTATTGAATAAGGAGAGCCAATATATCTTAAATCTTTTAACATTTCTGTAGGCCAAAGGTTCGGGAGGATGAGAAACCAATGCCTTCTCAGACATGCTACAGTATAAAGCTAGGCCTGAGGCCAACATTTATAATGACAGCTCAGATGCCACTCTTCAATCCATCGTGGACAATAAATGGATACAGCAGACAGAAAGACAGACTGACCACATTTTACCAATGCCTCAGAAGCTCAAGGAGCCTAACAATTTATGAGCAACTAATTATACTGAAGTATTAATCAACTGAATGGCTCTATAATAAATATAGAATCACTGTGACGTTTCCAAAGGGTTACTAGGAGGATGATACATAAAAATATGACAGGAGTTAAAGTCAGGAGACCTGGATTTAAGTCCTGGCTCTGCTACTTCTTAGCTATGATCCTTAGAGTAGTCCTGTCACCTATGAGCTGCAATTTGATGTTTCCCACTATGCAACCTCTAGACCTATACTGGTCAAAAGGCAATCAAGGAGGGGAAGTGATTTGTGCCTCTTTTGGAGCATGCTATAAAAAGCATAAAGATACAGGGCTAGAGTGGAAAGAAGGGAAAGAAGAGACTTTTCAAGTAGCCACTATGTGTAAGGTACTTCACATACTGAATGAAAGTGGACACGACTTCAGGGAAGGAGAGTGCTTTCCAACAACTACCTCTGGATTCCATAGCCATTGGTATAAAACAGAAACAAGGTAATCAAAGATTTTAAGACGCATATAACATCACAGCCAGAGAGATATCCTTACAGGTCATCTAATCTGATCCCCTCATACTAAATGTAGGAATAATGAGGTTTAAAGAACAGGAAGAAATTGCCTTAGATCACACAGCAACTTAAAGGTACAGTAAGGACAGACCCCTCTTTAAGCACTTTAAAACTGTTAAAAGTTTTACTCATCCTTCATGGTGAAACCCATCTTTCATTTTAAACTCTCTGCCAAAGAATTTTCCAACCATACTGTTCTTGAGGTAATTCTGGCCCTTTTGTACCTTTTCTGACCTGAAATTTACTACTTCTTACTTATGTTTAGGTCAAATCTAGCCAATGGAAAATATAAAAATATATAAGCATTTTTGGGTTGGACTTGACATTTACTAAAAATCTACCATGAACTAAGCACCTGAGAAAATCAATGAATTTTTGCTTCTCAAATCAAAAAAATATAGTGTAAACATGGGGGTATGTCATTAAAGGCATGTGAAAGTTATATACAGCTTTTGCTGCACTTGCATGTTCTTCATTCAAGTTACAGTTCAAACAATAAACTTTTACTGAGTAGTTACATGCAAATGCTACGCTAGAAACCAGGAATAAATAAAAGAATAAAGAAATAGATAAACAAATGAATAAGATATGACCTGATCCTAGAGGCTCTCGCAGTCTAGTAAGTAAGAGGCAGGACATAGAAAACCACAATGCCAGGCCAAATGTGAACAGCGCTATAAAAGAATACAAACAGTAAAATGTCCAAACACACAGGAAGACTAGATTGAATTGGAGTGATCCATGAAGTTTCTCAAAAGAAGTTGTATTAAGAGTAGCAGCTTAAAGAATAGGTTATATAGGGACACGACAATCAACAACAAATTACTGTGTATCTTTGAATAGCTAGT